CGGCTTGACATCGCCCCAGAAGCAAAAGCTGTTCAAAAGAAGCCTTCCGCCCAACCATCTCTCTCTCCATTACAAGGGATGAACGCTCACAAGCCTTCTTTCTGCCTCCCCGACCCACAGGGCAGCCCCGGGGCTCCAGCCGGGAGCGGGGGCTGCTCCCACCGTCACCTCCCTGGGGACACCGACCTTGCGAAAGCGTCGGGGCTCCCCGTCTGCTTTTTGGGCTTTGCAGAGCAGCATCGCTCAGCCTGAAAAACAGAATTCTCCCATAGCTACGACCAAGATTGCTCCACAGGAGGTTGGTCCATTATTCAGCTCCTCACCGGGCCTTGCAGGCAATATAAATATGCTTCCTGGAAAATTGTGCGCTTCTCAAGAAGTAATGCTGGATCCCAGTTTGTTTCGAAATCCACAAGTGTAAAATGGAATTACTCTGTATTTAGAGTGCCTCACTAAAGCTCCTATGCGCTTGCCATTATCCCCTATTTCCCTAATCCCTTTTTTTAAAAAGTAATTCCAAGTGGCAGCTAGAAAACCATAGAACAGGAAACACAGTAATTGTCCTAAATAGCACAGTTTTTCTCAGTACACGCATTCCTGATGTGTAACAATTTCTCCATTTAGCAAAAGACAGCCAGTTTGCTTAAAACAATGCCATAACAGTAAGTGAAAAATTGCTGTTCTACTTTTTAAAGCAGATATTGCAAAATGTGCTTTCCTCCATGGAATTGTTGAGGAATTTTTAATATATCTTTATGATTTAAAAAAAAAAAAGAGAAAAATGTAATAGAGTGAGCTGAGAAAGCACACCCTGATTTATCCTAAGAAACATGAGGTTATTCTGATACAGCAAAAGAGTTTTGTCCTTTTATCATAAATCTGGCGAGAGCATGAGCAACTGCACACTTAATTTGTTCACACCTTTTCCCAGCCCCTTCTTTGCAAAGCTAAACCAGAGGTCGTTTCATGGAATGTAACTGAAACATGGCAGGTTTTGGCAAGTGCATACTTACTTTCAGCCTCTCCTACTGAAAGATTTGTTGGACTGCATCAAGTATCCTTACTCCATCGCCTTTACAGCTGTGAACGTGTTGATGGCTGGATTAGCCATCACATCCACATATAAAGCATTTGAGATTTCAGTTCTTGTTTTCTGCTTTCGCATTCCTAGACTGGGATCCAGGAGAAGTCAACACCTTTTGGTTGCTGTTTAGTCTCGTCAGGCACAGGCCGGGGGTAGCAGGAAAGGCACTACCAGCAGGCAAAAATGAAGTGGTGCTTTAAATCACTTCAGCTCCACACATCTCCCATCACCACTCTATTGAAAATTTAAACTGGAAAATGACAATAAAAAGCCGGAATAATGGGTAAAGCGGGACACAAAATTCGATAGACATTGCTACAAGCTTGAAGGGAAACGACTTAAAAGGTCAGAGAGCAAACGGGAATGGCCACAATCATCTGAAGGCAGTTGGAAGGTGAGTTGATGGACACCGGTTTGACCTGCAGGTCAGCAAACTAGTTTAACTCTACCTTGATCTGCACAACGCAGAGACAAGTTCCTGGCTCCTATCAAGCAACTCAATGCCCTTATCTGGAAGGGTTTAGTAAAAGTAAATCCACTACAAAAAGGAGCTATTCAGCCTTCAAGTGCTGGGTTTTGCTGGTAAAAGAAAGGAAAAATATGTGTGTTCTCACACAGCTCTCCACAGCCTGGATCCTAACTGGCGGCTCCCAAACAGCAGCAAAACATGCTCTTTCCTGGGCAGAGGATGAGTTTTGCTGCTGACCCTATCCCACTGCCAGACAGTCCCAAAATGGAACAACCAGTGCCCTAAAGATACCATCAAGTCCCTGGACAACAGTATTTTGATAGGGCTCTCTTTTCGGGTGGATATGGGAGAAGCAGCGTTAGAAGTTATTCTCTGTTCCATTACCTTTTTTACTGGGTGCTCACACCATTTCAGGGGGACCAGAATTTCCAAGTAACATAAGCACTGCCTCTCACTCCCACTGGGGAAATCAGGTGCTGCTACACCACTCCGTTTACATGGCATTAAAGAACAAAAAAAATCAGAGCAAACTGTTGCTTTGTTTCAGCAGCAAACTTTGCAGGCCTCTCCTGGTTGCGTTTGCAATGAAGAAAAATACAAATGCAGCTCAGAAGAAGTCAACCAGAGCAACTCTTGTTTCTAGTGGTTAACAGTCCCGTCTAACCCCTACACCATGCAGAGGACCAAAATCTTGAATGCATCTGGAGCTGACTAGTCTGTGCTTTTTTTCCCTGCAGTTTAATACCTGTTTTTTAAGGTACTACTAACAACCATGTGTTTTACATGTGTGCACAAAAGATCGTTCTGCTGTGCAGATTACATGCTCTAGCCTGATTTTTCACTACCCCAACAGTGAGCATCACCTCCCTAGGTAACACAAGAGGCCAGATTTCCAGGCAGGAACAACACGACATCCACACACTTCCCCACCCCCAGCCCCCCCACCCCCCAAAGAAGGTGGCAGAGGAAAGTTTAAGAGGTTGGGTTTGGTTTCGGTTTGGGTTTGGTATTTTGAGGGTTTTTGCCAAAACGCTAAGCAAATGCCAAAGGCACAATTGTGTTTTTATTGTTGTCCAGGGAGAGCCTGTGGAAAAGATTTAAAGGACACAGCAAGGGTGGTGGCGCTGGAGCGGCTGGCTGACAGCACCCCGCAGTCCCTGAAATTGCCCAGATTCCCGGTCCTGTGGGGAAAATGCCCCCGAACAAGAAGGGAGTTTTCACACACAACCGCAAAGTTTCCCAGCCCTGAGACCTGAAGAAGTTAGTGCTCACTACGGCAATTAGCATCGCTCCCAGCCACAACCACCTTACCTCAAAACAAAAGCGGAGGACCACTTTTTATTTTGTCTTTTAAAGCAATAATGACCCTCAGCATTTCAATATTAAATCTCCTTTCACAATGGATCTGGCATGATGTGAAAAATAATTTCAAGGAGGAGGTATATGCAAAGCAGCTTCTCAAACATACTCAGGTTTCTGAGAGGCACTGTATTATTAGTTTGATAAATACAATTTTTTAAAAAGAACTAATATCTTTCATTTAGTTTCCTCTGATATTGCATTTTAAAAAGCACGAAGCAGAACAACTTACCCATTTTAATGCCTCGAAGCTGCTCTCAGCATGTGCTAAAATTTACATTCGTTGTATGATCACTTTTCTCTGAAACTCTAGAGAACAACTCATGCCATATGAGTTCAAAGTAAATCATTGACTGTAACGATGGACTTACAAAGAAGAAAAACAACTGGCTGACCTAAGGTAGAATGTTTTTCTGGAGTTTATTAATACCATTTAAAATATTACAGATAAAAATCAATTACATTTCATGCATTTAAAATGCAAATCTAAAATGTTCCAGCGAAGGGCTTTTCATTTCAATGTGAAATATCCAAATTATTTCAACATTACAATGAGACAATTAGTTTGCAGCATTGCAAACCTCTAATGTAGTGTCAGGAGTGTTTATTAACATTTATCAATATTATTTTCAGGAAATACACATAGGCCAACGTTAGTTCAGTTTCACGTGGACAGTTTATTTAATACATGGGTCGTGGCAAACCCACTTTATGAAATATAGGAGAACTCTCACCGTAACTATACCTGAACTGCCAGCAAATGCAAATAAGTACATGCTCCATTAAATTAAATGTCATTCAACATTTATCAAATATTGTTTGCTTAATTACAGTTGTATGCCTAGCTAAATTAATATTCAAGCAAAACCTATATCCTGAAGTGTGATTTGATGCACACTTCAAGAAAGGAGTCCAGAAAAAAAAAAATGCAGTGAACCAGGACTGCAACAAGAATGTTTTCTCGTGACAGGAAAAGAAATAAAAATTAAAACAAACAAACAAACAAACAAAAAAAAAAGCTCAAGTGTACTTCAATATATTTTCAAATATTTACTGGAAGAAATTTACAAGAAAAATACTGTACAAAATCGTCTCCTGGACAACTGCACCTCACACCGATACATTGGTGGAGTTTTATTTAATTGTTAGCTAATCTAGAACGATTCCCCAGTAATACAAACCTATAGGTTCAGATGCATTTTACAAATATTTAATTTTCCTATTCCCCCCCAGCCTCCCTTTTTTGGCATTGGAAATACATCTTCGCTTGAAACCCATGGCGCTTCTTCATTTGTCTGAAGTTAAAAAAAAAATATATATATATATGACTTTCAACCTAATTCTTTTCAACGTATTTCGCGATTCCTGCTCAAACGAGAATTACACAAATGTGCTGGCAAACGCAGTGAAATTTGGACTCGAGGAGGTAACCGATTTGTTAAAACTGAAAAAAAAAAAAAAAAGGGGGGGAAGGGAAATAAGCACGCTGCCTCTCCGGTTCCGGGGAGCAGGCGGGCTCTGAGCAGGTACCGGGATGAGACAGGTCCGAGTGTCAGCGCGGCTCACTCTCTCTCTCTCTCTCTCTCTCTGCGCGGGGCACGGAGCGCGCCTGGCGCCGCTGCCGTCGGAGGCCCCGCCGCGGGCAGCCCCGGCCCTCCCGCCCGCCCCGCCGGGGCAGCGCGGCTGTACCGGCGCCAGCGGCGGAGGGAGGGAGTACGGGCCGGTTTCCAGCAGCAAAGCCAGAGGGGACGTGGGTGTTTTTTCCGCTCTAAAAGCAACACGAGGCGGGGGGTCTCAAGGCGAAGGGGAAAGGAGGCGGCGGCGGGGCCGCCCCACGGGGAATCGCGGCTCTCCGCCCTTGCCGAGCCGCTCCCCTGCCCCCGTCCCGGGGGTTGCGCGGCCCGGCCGGCCCCGTGCGGGGCTCCGGGAGGGCAGCGGAGCGGCCGCGGGGCTGAGCGCTGTCCTTGCGGAGCCGTGCCAGCTACTTACGTGTGTCCGCGTCCCCGCCGCAGGGCTGCGCGCTCGGGGGGCTGCGCGACCGGGAGGGCGGCGGGACTGGGGGGCGCGACGGCCCCGCGCCTCCGCCGGTCACTCCAGGCCGTTGCGGTGGCCGGGCTCGGGGGGCGGCAGCAGCTCCGGGGAGTGGCAGGGCGGGCTGCCGGCCGCGCTGTGCTCGCTGTCGGTGTCGCTGCCCTTCTTGCCGCCGGGGCCGGGGCCGCCACCGGGGCCGCCGCCGCCGGGGCCCCCGGCGCCTCCGGGGCCGCTGTGGGTCTTGACGTGCTTGCTGAGGTGGTCGCTGCGCATGAAGCGCTTGTTGCAGACGGGGCAGGCGAAGCGCTTCTCGCCCGTGTGGGTCCGCAGGTGCCGCTGCAGCTCGTCGGAGCGGGTGAAGCTCTTCCCGCAGAAGAGCCAGTTGCAGACGAAGGGCCGCTCGCCCGTGTGCCAGCGCAGGTGCGCCTTCAGGTGCGAGGTCTTGCCGTAGACCTTGCCGCAGCCGGGGATGTGGCAGCTGTGCAGCCCCTTGCGGCGCAGGCTGGCCCCCGCAGGCCCCAGCCGCTCGGCCTCCTGGCAGTTGGGGCAGTCGCAGGTGGCGCGGCCCGAGTAGCGGCGGGCGGAGGAGCGCGGAGAGGCGGCCAGAGGCGCGGCGGGGCCGCCGCCCAGCATGGAGCCCCCGGCGCCGGCCAGCGGCGAGGGGGCCGAGTCCGGGTAGGAGCCGGGCAGCACCGGCTTAAATCCGTCCATGAGATGCTGCCCGGCGGGGCTGAGGAGGTGCGAGGAGGCGCCGCTGCTGAAGGCCGAGTGTCCCAGGCCCGAGTAATCCGAGTTGTAGCCGCCCAGTGGCGAGTGGAGCGAGGTCTGGAGTCCGCCGGCCGCCGGATGCAGCGAGCCGGGCAGCGCGGCCGCACCGTTGGGGCTCTGCACGTCGATCCAGCCGGCACCCACGTCCCACCAGCTGGAGGCGCCCGCTGAGCCTACCTCGCCGGCGCCGAGCCCCGGGTGCGAGGGCTTGAACCAGGACTCGTAGGGGTGCGCCATGCCCACCCGCGGGTAGATGCCCTGCAGCCCCTCCACCGACGTGTGCACCTTGGAGATGAAGACGGGCTGGTGCGCCGCCGCCTCCTGTCCTGCCGCCCCACCGCCGCCGCCTCCGCCGCCGCCGCCGCCACCGGCGCTGCCCGGAGCCTGAAAGACGGAGTAGTCGTTGGCAAAGGGCGAGCTGGCGGCCGCCGCGCTGCTGGAGGTGAGGGAGAAGGCGCTGGAGCCCGGCGAGCCGCCGCAGCTGAAGGAGTCCGAGACGAGGGCGGCCGCCGCCGCTGCCGCCGCCGCCGCCGCCGCCGAGGAGCCGTTCCGCGCCGCGCCCGCCACGCCGAAGCCCGGGAGGCCGGAGCCCACGGCGCCGCAGCTGCCCGCCGAGGCTGAGGAGGAGGAGCGTTTCCAGGGGTGGAAGCCTTTGCCGAAGGAGGACGTGCTGTCCGAAAGGGCGGACGGCGAGGGGCTGGGGCTACCGATCTTGTTGCAGGTCGCGGCGAGCATGGCCAGCGGCGTGGAGCCTACCCGCGGTTCCTCCTGCGGGCACAGAGGGGAGAGGGCCGTCCCGCCGGCGTCAGGGATGGAGCGGCCCCGCGCCGCCACCCCGCGCCCCGCGTTCCGCGCCCGGCACCGCTCCGCCGCCCGGCCCCGCTCCGCTCCGCCGCCCGGCCCCGGGCGCAGTTTCGCGACTCCCGCGGGAGGATCCCTTCGCTGGGGCCGGCACAGCGGTTCTGCCTCCAAACGCCTTCCGGGGCTTTTTTTCACCATCCAACTCCCCTCCCCCGAAGGAGCTCAGGAAGGGTTAAAAAAGGGGGAGAAAAAAAGAGAGGGGAAAAAAGTTGCGTCTGTTACCGTAGCTGTAAAGATGCTCCCGGCACGGAGGCAGCTATATTTCAGCCTGCTCCCTTTGCCCGGGACGTGGCCGGTCCCCATCCCTCAGGCCAGCAAGGCTGTTTTCGTAAATATAGAATCGCAGGACTATCAAATTACTCCTTTTTTTTTCTTCCTTTACTTTTTTTTTTTTTTTTTAGCTTCCTTTAAAGCAGCCTAATTTACGTAGCAAAGTTAATGAAACACATATATAAATTTAACATATGTAAATATGTATGCATACACGAGTTGAACGTACCTGCTAGACACGGTGGGTTGTGTTATTTTAAATGGAAATAAAAAGCCACAATCTGTTGCAAATTTTTTTTAAAAATTGCACACAAAAAAACCGATAGTGCTGGGTTTGGGGTTTTTTTGTTTGTTTGTTGTTTTTTTTTCTTCCAGCAGTCACATGTGAAGAAGAAAAGCCACTTCTTCGGGGGCACAGGAACAGCACAGCCCAGGCGCTGTAGGTTGTTTCTACAAATGCCCTTAAAACCTTTTCTTGCTCACTGAAAAGTGACTCTACCCCCTTTTCCCCCTCTCACTCTTTCTTTTCTCCTAAATTCACTTGTACTTAAGCTAAAAAAAAAAAAAAAAAAAAAAAAAAAAAAAAAAAAAAACCCAGGCTGAATAGAGGAGACTGATAGCCCCGGTCAAGACAGGGGTTATTTTAACCCCCTCCAATCGACAATAAAAAGAAACCAATTAAACCAGCAAGAGAAAAAAATCCTTAGACTCACCCCTAGAAGTGAAGTTGCCATCACACAAAAGTGCCCTCCTCTCAGAGGATCTTTTTTATATTGATAAATCAGAGGCAGTGTTTTTTTTAGAGGTGTGCAATACAATGATCAGTTCCGCCCATTCCACCACAATTGTAGCTCCCTCGCCGGCTTTGAAGTGCCGCTGAGCCACCGCCAGCCAATCCCCGGCACCGCCGCCTCGCTCGCCGACGTGAGTGCGTGAAGTCAGCAGCGCCCTGGAGCCGGGCCGTCGAGCCCCGCCGCCGCTGATGACCTCACGCACTCACGTCGGCGAGCTGAGCTCCCGCTCCGCAGGGACCGCTCACCCCGGCTCGGGCTACTTCGTCCCGGCCGCCCCTTTCCATCACCCCACACCCCGTGTGCGTTATTTGACAACAGTTGGGTTTGGGTGTTTTTTTCCCGCGGAGCGGTTCATATTTGAATTTTTATATCATCAGCCGCAGCATCTCGGTCTTACTATGATTATCGGCACGGACTGGCGAGAGCGGTAGCATCTCGTTTCTCCACTAGCCCCCCCACCCCCCTTTCCCCCATCCCGATCCCTTCTCTTCAGTCCTTCTTCTCCCGTTGTCCCGGCAAGGGAGGAAACACTTTAGGCCACCGCTGCCTGTCGTTCCCCCGCTTCTCGCCCTCGCCCACCGCGGTTTCAGGCGTGATTCTTGGCGGTGGGGTTGCACAGGCGGAGTCCACCCGAGCGGCACCGGCACAATCAGGGGCTGGCTTCCCCCGCCTCGTCCCCCTCCGAGGTGAGCGCTTTGCTCCCCTCGGCTCCTCGCCCAGCCCTGGGCGGCTGCGGGGAAGGGCAAAGCCCGCTTCCCCTGTCCCTGGGAGACCTGGCTCGGCCCGGCCCTGCTCGCCCAGGTGCTCTCACCCCCGCGGGTTTTCCACAGCTGTGCTTAGCTTCCCAGGAGATGGTTTTCCTCTTTCTCTCGGCTTCGGTTTTGACCCGTTTCCGTGTCTCGGGGATATTGACTGTACATCATATCTATTGATCAAGGGGGTAATGTACATTATCATACTTTGAAGTAAGAGTGAAGTAAATTAATGAACTGCTTTCTTTCTCTGAAAGCTGACGCTTACCATAAATGTCGCGTTTCTCTCTGCGAGCTGCTCTGAATGATTTTAGCCTGTTGAGAAGGCGTGACAGGCCAGCCCAGAAGGAGGAAGGGGTGGGGGAAGGAGGGAACTCCGTTTAACAAATAAAAAAGAATTAACTTCATTGCTTTGGTCTCCTTCTATAATGATATTCATTTTACAGACCTAACGCACACTTGTTTAAATTTCGGGTTTAATTTAATCAATACTATCACCCGCAAAGAGGGGAAGAACATTTCCTGGAGATACTCCCTTGTATGAATGCTTATTAACTTTTTATCTCCACTTTCTTTATCTGCTGGAGATGGGGAGGAACTATTAAGACATAGATCAGAAAGCGTAAGAGCAAAACAAGCGTCGTGAGCATTACATTTTAGAGGAACACAAAATCGCATTTTGTGGTGTGCCAGGTTAGGTAAAAAGATCGACACGCATTCCTTTCAGCCCCAGAAAGTCTGAGAGACTTTGCCATACACCGGGGAAGTAGAAGCCTTTAGTGATATATCTCTTTTTAGGACAGCCTCGCCGGGTGGGTCTTCCATTCGCATCCGTATTTTGTCTGCACTTGTCTGCCCAGAGGAAACGTGTCCTTTTTTGATCTTTTTGTGTTTATTTTTTCCGATGCTTGCCCTGACTCTTTTGATTTGGGGTCGAAAATCCTTAATTTTCAGTGCGCTTTTCCTTTAAAAGCACCGTGTGGGAAATTATGAAAAACTCGTTGTAAAAATAGTCGTGGGAGTCTTTACAAGGGAACTCAACTGAGAGGGAGGAAAAAAAAGGCAAATATATCAGAACAGAAATCACAAAACTCCTGCCAGTGGGCATCCTCCTGCTACTCTGATAATTTCCCGAAACTGGAAAAGCAGCAGCTTCTGAACTTTGAGAGCGGTGAGCTGATATTTTCTGAATTCGCCACGGAAACATCTGTAACCTTCCTCCTTTGTATACATTGCCTGCTGGGCAAAGGATTTAAGCAAGCTTACAATTTTGTTTGCATTTGCCTTATTGACCACTGCACTTAAGGGTGCAGTACATCAACATAATATGCAGGTGGGGGGGCGGCGGGGGGGACCAGCAAAGAGAGGTTTTCCAGAAATTAATTTAAACTTTTTTTTTTCCCCCATTTGAAGTTTAATGTACGAGAGGAGATAAATGTTCGTGCCGTTTCTTGAAAACCTGTGGGATCCACTCTCAATAAAGCTAAAATCTATTAGCATTCTGTATGCATCTGCAGCATAAATTTCATTTGAATTTCAAATTTAATAAACCAGGAGGTTTTTAATCATCCCTGGTTTTATTTGTTTGATATTAACATGCTTATTGACCGGGTCTGTTGACCAGTTTGATCATTACAGGACAGCAAAAAGTTAATTAAAACGACCACAGCTCCTTAATCATATCATCTGTCTCATCCATGTCGCTCCCTTTATTACAGCCTATGATGGATAGTCTCCCAGATTAATTTCTCTGTTTCTTCGATTTGGACAACAGCTTTTGGGACCTAATTTACATCCTGGGAACAACTTGCTCAAGTCTACCTAACATCTTGAGTCTACAATGTAGATTAGCAATCCCGGAACTTTAGCCACCACGATAGCTGTCGCTAACCTTTCGGGAAGGGGGGTGGATTTTCTCGGAGCAAACCCCGATTCTCCGCGCTGCGACCGGCAAGCGGACAGAGATGGATAGACCCTTGTACCAGAGGTCCTCGCCTGTCTACAGACAGCGCTACTGGGGTACACAGGGGGATTTCTCTTTGAGAAAACAGAGGTCTGTGCTATTTGAGAAGGCGTAGCTGGAAAGATTAAACTGCAGGCTGACCACGCCGTGTGCTGGATGTCCGTGTTAGCGAGGGAAAGCGTTTCACGCCACCCTTGCGCCAATTTAGGGGCACACGGGTGGGAGCCGCTCTCCTGTCGCCTTCCAGGCGGTGCGGCTCCGCTTCGCCGTCTGTCAAGAGTCCAGCGAGGAGGAAGCCTCGTTCCTCAGCGTCCAGCGGCTCCTAGCTCCGCTCCCGTGGTCACGGGGGAAAGCCTCTAGGCGGGGGCCTTGTCCTCGCCCTCCCTGGGCTCCGTGCTTTGGAAAAGGCTGCGTTGCCCCCGTGTTTGCCCCACCGCCCCGTACCTGCTGCCCTGGGTAGGTGGGGGCCAGGAGGTGTCCCCTTGGCCCGACACCTTCACCTAGAATCTTTCACCTGGAAGATTTATGGAGGGGTGACGAACAACTCTGCAGGCGCACGAGGGCTCGGCTTGTTGGGGAGAGGAGAAAAGGGAGCAGGACGTAAACCAGACAAAATTGCCACCAGTCAGAAAGGACCATGCTGTGCCTGGCGGTCACTGAGCAAAGAGGGTGTCTAATGTCTTTCTTTAACCTCTATCTGCACCTCCGCATTGCTGTGCTTTACCCGGGACGTTTCTCTCACTGCCTCACTGGGCACTGTCTTTGAGACCGGAGCTCCCCGTCGGGCACCGGCTGCAGGGCGGCGGGAGCCGACAGTGCGTGCGGGCCGGTGCCTCCACCTATTGCTATGTGGGTTTTTTCTTCCGTCGGTGTAAACGTGTCCCAGGTACCCGGCAGCCCGGCCGGGGTCCCCGTCCCACTGCCCGCCCCTCGTTTCCCAGCCTTGAGCGGCCTGACTGCTCCCCCGCGCAGCCGGCGGGGAGGCGGCCGCCAGAGCCCGGGCTTCTCTCTGAGCCACTTTGGAGATGGACAGGGTACACGCCGACCCGTCTGCAGCCGGCGGAGGGGATTCACCATTCACTTCGACGTCTTTCGTCGTTTGCTTATTTATTTATTTGTCAGGATCTGTGCTAAAAAAAAAAGAAAAAAAAAAAAAGAAAAAAAAAAAAGTAGCAAGCTGCGTCTCCGAAAGGTCCCTGTAATTAAATTAGCTCGGGAAGACACCGTGCACATGCTGGTGTGTGCATGCCTGGGGAGGGAGAGGAAGAGACACCTTCACACCCACTCTGCTTACATCGCCGGTGTGCACCTAGGTCCGATCCGCATCTCCTCCTTCTTCTCCCCGTTTTTCCCCCTGCCCTCTCCCCCCCACCCCCGCCCCCCTCTCTCCCGGTACGCTATCGCTGTGCACGCATCGGCTCCTGGGCGGTCATGTAAGTACCGGGAGGCGCCGGTGGGGAGAGCGAGCACCCGGGCTGAGCGCGCCGGCACCGGGCGGGGCAGAGCGCGGAGCCCCCGCCGCCGCTCCTTCGGTCCTGCCTAGAATAGATTTGTTTAAGCTGCTTTCTGGTTTTTTTCCTATTATATATCACCCTCTCCCAGGCACCACTTACAGTTAAAAACTACTAAATTCTTCTCCTCAGCGGTATTGATTTCTTTTCATTCTGCTCCGTTAGGAGAGGAGGTAATGCTTCCAGATTACCCCGCGTCTCCTCCAGAAGGTTGACAATTGCAATCGCAGTTTCGGGAAGATAAATGTTACTTTGGGAATTGTGCTTAATTACAAATAATCTAGGAGCTGCTCTGGGTCCGGTGGTTTAACCACACGTGTTCAAATCAGAGCACAAGCTTTTCAAGAGGGTGGTGCCAAGATATAGAAAACGTTTGGAAAATCGGTGTGTAAGACAGGACGTTCCCATTAAATAGGCTGCCTGAAGCTGGGTCACGCCCCGAAATACATGCTATTTATATATAAACATACAAATATATAAATATATATACACATGGGTGCCTGTGGATATGTGCGTGTATATAGATGTGTGTGACAGGCACTGGCATATGCAAATCCTAAAACACCCAAAATAGTAGTCTGCAGAGAGCATAGAAGAAAAGGAAAGCTTTCTATGTATATATGTATGTATGTATGTATGTACGTATGTATACATGTATGTATGTATGTATGTAAGTATGTATATATTTCTTTGTTCTCCCAACTGCACAGAAGT